CATTAGCACCTCTAGTGATATATTTACAGAGAAAATGGTGACATGTTCAATACTTATTTTACCCGCTGTATATTGTAACTTAAAATTGATTTGTTCCAGATTTGTTTTTCTATTCCAGATTTGAGTTCTGTTTTTAACTGATGCTTTCACTAAAATCTCATTCAACATTAAGGTAAACCCTGTTGATATTGTGTTGACATTAAAACATTTTCAGCTGATGTAATTTTAAAATTGCAGACACTTTTTTTAAATCAAAGTGACCTAAAAAAACAGGTTTTCCAATCTAGTGTGTTTCAGGCATGAGAGTTTTATTAAAACTGGTCTTGCAGTTTATAAACTATATTTTTATTTGATAAATACACAAATATGCATAAACACACACACACCAACGGGTAAAAACAATATTGTCCGCTTATAATTGGTGTGTAGCACTAACTTACTGTAACTCAGTCCATGTTTGTGAGTGTAAGTTTGGACTAACAGCCCGTTGGACATGTCCCTCAGGTGGTCCAGGGGACGGTGAACAGCGTGGAGCTGAGCTACCTAAACTCCCTGACGGAGTACCAGGTGGCTGTTTTTGCCATCTACCGCAGCTCCGCCAGCGAGGCCCTGAGAGGAAGCGCCACCACACGTACGTTTTCATTTTTACAGCGTCACAAAGACAAATAGTTAAATGCTTTAAAGCAGGGCTATTCAACTGGCAGCCCGCGGGCCACACCCGGCCCGCAAGTGACCAAAGTTTTGCCCGCCAATTCWTTCATCTCTTAAGCCCAAACTCCTGGTTTTCTACTTTAATTTTTAATTAAACATAAACATGTTTAGTATCTACAGAAACATCAGAATCTTGTCTTGAAGTTGGTAAAAACCATTTCTATGAACACTCAAGACAATTAAAATTACAAGCAGTTGGATATAAAACTMTGAAAGTGAAAATAAAATGGGTTTAAAAAATTTGCAAGTCAGAGATGTCAAAATAATATTTGTGTTAAATAGGAGGCATAATGTGTTTCTTTTTGTTTTTGATATTGTTTTATTATCACTACTTTTATAGTGTTCTGTATGTTGTATTTATGATTAAATGCAGCAAAATAGACTATTTCAAAGGTAACATCTTTGTAATACTTGGTTTATTTACATAATGACTTTAATTGCTGGATGTTCGGCCCCTCAGCTGTTAGCCTGCATTAACCTTGGACCCCGGAGTGATWTAGTTGAATAGCCCTGCTTTAATGCAAAGGCTGTTAAAGTTGCAGAGGGGAAAAGAGAAGTTATTTTTTTGCCTCTCAGCATCTTGCAACTTAATTTTAGACAAACTGGAGGCGAGACCGTCCATAGTGTTTTAGAGGGATAACTTTGAGCACCTTACGTCAGCATGTGAAGATAAATCCAATGCCCTCTTTCTCGTGACCTTGCAGTGAAACTTAGCTTACTTTTATATTTTCTCTTTTTTAAAAATAAACAACCCTAACCCTGCTTTGTTATTCAGTTTTTCATGATGAAACACTTCCTGCCATCTGCTTCCACAGGAGTTGTTGCAAATACATATATTTTTTTCCTTTTGTCTTCTCAGCAGGACAAAAATATTCAAAACAGCTGAACTTAAGATAACTTTACCTCTCTGACTCTTTTGAACTTTTTTGTTTCCTTTTTTCCCTGCTTGTTCCGACTGAAGTTTAAAGGACCATCAAAGTGTTTAGTTTATGCATTTAGCTTACCAATAAAAAACAAAACAAAACATGCATGTTCTTTTCATCACGTTGGAACAATAACAGCTGTCATCAGAGACGATCATGCACCGGTTGATACGCGTCAAACTGCAGCAGAAGACTTTCTGTTTGAGCCACGAAGCATTTTATGAATTCAGGTCCTGATCCTACACATTGACAGGTAGCTTGTGGTTGGATCTAATTCTGAAAGCATTGCCTGAGGCTCCAAAGTGATACACTAAGCCTGAGTCAGGCAGGATTTTCTGTCCTTTCAGTGTGTTATTCACTGATGACTGATGGAGAATTCCTTCAAGTAGCAGTAGGTATAATATGAGGGCAGTACTGGTGGATTTTAGTGTTTCTTCAGCCTTTAATGAAGCTTTAAAGATGCACAGGAATGTGCAAATGTAACCTTGTTTTCTTAATATTTCACTTCCAGGAAGATAGACTGAATTATAATCTTTACACGCGGTTCTGAAAAGAAGATTTCTTGTTTAAAAAAAAGACATCAGCTGCATTTCCCTTAATTTCCGGTCTCGTTTTTGGCCGTTATGTTTGTTAAGCCACTTAAGTCTGACCTACAAACCATTCAGGCATAGAAAGGATTTTGAACTCAGGACGACTCATAATAAAGAACTTGGCAAAAATAATAATTTAGGGAATTTGTAAGCAGTGTGTTAAAAGGAAAACAAACAAACAAAAAAAAAACAGTTTGACATCTAAATAATATTTTAGCACGAACAAAGCTGTWAGCAGAAAACCTGTCTTGTACTGAATGATTAACTGGACAATAGCTGCGTTTCCATTGACCATGAAAACGCGCAAATTAGAATTTCGAAAATAAATTTTCTCCATGGAAACACGTCAATTTCGAAAAAAATTACGTTTTTTTGATAAAAGTTTTTTTTGCACAAGGATGAGGCGGTATTCCAGTCGTATCAAAATTGGTGTTTTTTCGCAAAACTGCGATGGAGACACTTTTTTTTCGCATCACAGGAGTCACGTGATCAAAAACCAGCTGTTTCTACTGGTTAAAAAGTTGACGATGAAGAAGGCAACAGGAAGTAGAAGTAGTAGGGAAATCAACGAAGTTGTAAAAGAAAGTAGTAAACTCACCAAATGCGATTTCCCAAAAACGCAGCATATGTAGCCGCTCCCAAGTATGAGGGGTTTGTCACTCAAAAGCCTCGATAAGACACTAACTGATGGCTGATGAGCGCTAGTGTCGCGGTAGCAACATGCTATGTGTTTACATCCATCGCCGCCATGTTTGTAATGACTTATCATGAGAACAAACGTATTCACGCGTGACTTTAATAGCATTTCTTACTTAATGGAAACACCGCAGTTGCGAAACTGTGTTTTTGTCGACATTAACAGAATATCGACAAAGTTTTGCGCACATTTGCAATGGAAACRCAGCTWGTGATGCACTTCTGAAATCTTTCAGGGTTTTTGATGATTCTTTGTCCTAATTTCCTAAAAATCGTGAGTTTTAGAAATAAATCATCTGCTGAAGTTAGTGTTAGGACTTTGTTGTCCCAGTTTTGTAGAGCACACACTACACAATGTGCTTTTGTGGTCACAAAAGAGTTGGGAAAGTTCAAAGCAAAACTGAAAATCTTTAGAAGGTTAAGCCAACTATTGATCAAAGTGATGATAAAAAATGAAAAAAAAGTGACTGCTTGGAAAGAAAATATAAAAAATTGACCTTTTTTTGGTTGCTTTTGTTATTAAATCATATCTTGTAAATGTGATGGCCACATTTTGAGGCTTAAGTTTTAACGTTTAATGCAACTCCTCGTGGATCATTAATCAGTAGCTTTTCTAGCAGCATGGATTCACTGTTATAATACATAAAAAGGACATTGTTTGGTGTGAAAGTCTGACAGTCGGGTTTATTTCCTCATTTCCCTGTGATGTTTTGCAGTGGCCCTGCCCATGGTGAACGACCTGGAGCTGTTTGATATCACTCACAGCACCATGARGGTCCGCTGGAAGACCGCCGCCGGGGCTTCAGGGTACATGATCCTGTACGCCCCGCTGACCGAGGAGGAATCTGGAGATGAGAAGGAGGTCAGTGTGGCTTTATGTAGAATGTGAGCTATGAGGATGGAAACACAGTTATTAAAATATATTTTAACTTTAGCAGGAGCTCTGAAACTTTATATTCAAGGGTCCAAATCTGATTTCTGGATAATGCCAAAGGCCCATGACAAGTAGTTATATTTTTTAGAGTATTTTCCCTTTTGAATTAGGTTGAGTGTTTGTTGTCATGTTTTTCTTAAAAGAAAAATCTGAATTATATGAATATTGTCATCATAGTTTGGTTCAGTGCAGCAGGTGTGATGTCTGAGCTGCTGCTGTGTGGGTTCTGTTTGTCAGACTGAGAGGAAAAACAACATTTTGACACATCCAAAACTAAATCCATTTCTTGACAATCACACGCAGATCGTTTGATTGTGTTTGTATATCAGAACCAAATTGCAAAATAATGATAACACCATGAAGATTCCTGCCTGTTGTTGAAGATGAGACATGTGTGAAGAAGAGGAGCACAAGGCACAGCCAGTGCACTGCCTCCACTCCCGTTAGACCTCATTATACCTGCCTTCTTGTTCCCCCGCAGGTAGAAGGCAATAAAAAAAAACCCAAAAAGGAACTCAGATTTAGAATGGATGCTTTCCAACAACAATGATGAGCTTGGCTCTGGGGCTCCAATGTCACGGCCCAGGCTTGGCTGGGTTCAGCTCGTGTTGGTTTCACTCACAGGCTGTTTGGGAAAGTTGGCTGTTTGTTAGCGGCCAGCTGGTCCAGAYAGCAGAAAGGGGATTTATTAAAGATTGAACCAAAAGAATGAATATTTTTAATAGACAAAAAAATAAATAAAAATCTTCATTGATTCATTTCCTGACAGGGGCGGAGCCAGAGGGGTGGCCAAGGTGGCAAGTGCCATCTCTGGCACCAGATTGGCCACCCCAGGTGCCACCTGCAAATGATTGACAGATGGATGGGGATCTTGGATTTTGCATTTGCATTTATATTTGTTTAAACATTGGTCTCTGATACTACAGTGTTACATATTGTTTTTAGCTGCGTATATTTGTAAAAAGCTAAATTTGTTTAGTTTAATTTATAAAGTTGGACATGGACTTGCGACCTGTCCAGGGTGGGCCCCGCCCCTCGCACTGTGACTGCTGGATATGGGCACCAGTGACCCACGCAACTCTGAAAAAGGAAGAAGCGTGTACAGAAAATGGATGGATGGATGGATAATTTATAAAGTTTATTAATTTCTTTAAAAAAGAAAACAAATAAATTCCATATACAACAAGAAATACAAATCACAAATAAAATAAAAGGCAGCATAAAGAAGAAAAACACTTATTTCTGCCCCTTTTTTTCCAAAAAATATTAATTCAACCAATAATCTTCAAATAAAAACAAAACAAACAACCCCTCCTTGAACAATTCAWATAGATACAAATTATATTTCATATTTTTTTTCAACAAACCAACTTTGATCATTCTCTTAAACATACACATTGATCTGACATTTTAACATCCAAGCACTTTGTAAAATTAGAATTTGTGATTAACTTAATTTGAGATTAAATTTTAAAGCTAGCTGTGGTGGCCATCRTTAAATTTTGATTAGTGTTTAAAATTTGGCAAAGATTGTTTCCGGCTACTTCTACACTAATCTTCAGCTTTCTGTGGCTAAAAATGGCTGAATAAGAAGTTGTGCTAGTATTGGTCACATTTTTTTTGATAATTCTTAAATACAGTCACGCAAAATTCCTGCCCAATATTTCTGAAAACAGCTGAATTAAAGCAATTTGAAATTAGCTGTGGCTGCCATCTTAAAAATTCTAATCTAGAGTTATTTTATTTATTTGTATGAGCCCACCCTAAAAACCGCCTTGGCCACCCCTTGCAAAAAATGTAGCTCTGCCCCTGGTTCCAGAGTGACTTGAGAGATACCTCATCTTAAGCCACTTGTGCTCATGAGTTTCCATCTGGCCCATGGGAGGTCAGTGAAAAATCAGAAACTAATAATAACCAATTCTTCATGCAAAGCCAAAATCCTTGCTTTTATTTTGAAACCAGCTTTTGCTGTGCTTTTACGTTTGAAAGCGAGCGAGCATTTTCTTCAGCATCAGTATGCATGCTGCAGTGGAGTCTCTTCCCTAGGAGCTGAGTTTGTGAGAGATTTAGGAGTTAGTGTCATGTCAGCACCTGCAAAAATGAGATTCAGACAGGATATAGACTTGTTAACATCATCTGGACTTCTAAATGTTACACAATCACAACCATCAGACTAGACACAGAGCAGGCACATTGCAGGATCTTCACTCTACAAACTCACAAACATGACCGTTTACTAAGATTTAAATGTGTGTTTGTCTGTGTGTGCAGGTGAAGGTGGCAGACACTGTGAATGAGGTGGAGCTGGAGGGACTGACTCCAGCTACCGAGTACACGGTAACAGTTTATGCCATGTAYGGAGAGGAGGCCAGTGACCCCATGACCAGCCAGCAGACCACATGTGAGTCGAATTAWCTGAAGCTTTTCGACCTTCAAACGGGTTTTGTTGTCTGAAGTCATCAACAGCTGGCAAATACCAGCGTATGCTTTAAAATCTGAGAAAAATGTATATAATTCTAACTAGGGGTGTCCCAATTCCAATTTTCCTCAAATCGAATACAAGTACTTAAGTTTAGATACTTGCCAGTACAGAGTAATTACTGAGTAGTTAATTACATGGTTGCTTTAAAAACACATTTTGGTAACACTTTACAATAAMTACACTTTATTTAGCCTTACTTAATCATCTTAAAATGGTTAGTTACCCTTGAGTGACTTAAAAAATCCCAATTAATAAACTTATAAATGCTTTACACATAAATAAATAAAGCTAAATAATTACAATATTACAAAGCGCTACCAACATTTCTTCTTCTTTCTTTCAACTTGTATAAACATCTTAGACATGGAAACTCAGGTATTCACACTGCAGGTCTTAATGCTCAATTCTGATAAAAATAAAAATAAAAAAATTGGAAAATTCGGATGTAATGCGACATGAAAACATCGTAGCCAAGTCACATACTGAAAAGGCCTGAATCAGATTTGAAAAGATTGGATTTGTCGTGTGTGAACATAACCTTACGCTCAAAGTATCAATACGGGTATTGATATCGGTCCTGAGTATCGAGGCATTTATATGAGTATTTATAAAACTGCTTGTACTAATACCAATACTAGTACTAGTTTTGCGACACCACTCATTCTAACAAACTTTAGCTGTTGTTCCCATTTGTTTCCTTGCAGCTGCCTTCTGCTCAGCTGTAAAGAACGAATAAAACCTGAATGAAAGCCTGCATGTTTTTGTATAAAGATCACTTACTTTGAGCAATCTCAGCTGATTTAAGTTCTTCATAAAAGTCTGCAGTGTGGGACTCAGGAAGGCGGAAACTGCGTTTTAACCCAAACACTACAGCAGCTATTTTCCCTGATTAGCGTTTGCTCGCTACTTGAAAATTTTCTAATCAGTGGAATCAGCTGCTGGGGGTTCAGTTTGCTTTTCATTTGCACCGTGTTTGATCGTCGTAACGTAGCGTTTTCAGAGCAGCTGCAGAGAGCACAAGTCACGTCCTGGCTTTTTTTTCTCTCTTTCTTTTTCTCCTAAAACAAAACCAGCTGCCTGCCAAGCCAAAATCACTGCGCAGGGCTGGCTTCCAGCCTCCACTTTTACTTTTATTTCCTGCACCTCGCTCTCGTTTTTGAGCGTTTTAAAACCTCGATATGAGAACTTTTTTCCCCCACTCCGCTGCTGCCAACACCCCCAACATTCATACCAATTTCTGTTTTGTGAAGTCTCGTTTAAAGATTGAGGCCTGGGGTTTTAAGTTAGGGCATGTTTATGTTTTTATGATGTGTGGAAGGATTTGGATGAAGCTCAAATAAGGACGACATCATCCAATTTAGGATACCTTTTTTTTCTGTCAGGGCAGTCACTTTAGCAAACAGAAAAATGGTCATAACTCTTCCCCAACACAATCGTTAACTACTAACTGATTGATTGTCTTATTATTGAAGTCAACTTTGTCTGTTAGTAAAATATATGACAAACCATTTGATAGATTTCTGTGAAACCTTCAGAAAACAATCATTGTGTGTACATAAGTGACTCAAGTACATCCAATTCGATTGTTGCCACAAATAATCTGCCTTTTTTATTCCTTCAAGGAATGCATTTCGACTTTAAGCATTTGAACAATCCTCTCACCTCAGTTCTGTACCTAATATCTTATTGAAGCTTTCTGTTAACATCTTTTTCATCGCGTTTTTGTGATCAAACTTGGTTTTGGGGGCAGCTGGACGGTGCAAGAAATGGAGTTTTAATGTGTTTCTCTCCCAGACCCAGAAGCCTCTCATCCCTCATTTACTTGTATTTGGACTGTTTTTATTTTATTTTATCATTTTTTTCTTTGTGAAGCTAAAATGTGCTTTGATGACTGCTGCGGTGTAAAGAGGCCACTGCAGATGCAAACGGCCTTGATGAAAAATGCAGTATGATGGAGCCTAAACATAATAGAGCTTTACTAAAAACAAGACCTCATGCTGACTCTGATGAACACGAGGTTTGACGATCTTTAAATTTAGAGTTTTTAATGCTCCAGTGCACAACAAAGTAATAACATAGTATTTATGGGTTTTAACTCGGATGACTTGTGAGAAACGAATTGCAGACTAGTTGATGCTTTCCTAAGAGCATAGATTAAAATGAAAGGCTGTGTATTCCTTGAAGGATTACATATTGCCTATGCAAAATACTTTTTTAGCTGTTAAATACATTTTTGTTATGTACTTGGTATGGTGTGGTATGAATGCTAGTCGCTAGCCTCTCCGATGCTAATGCCAGCTTATCCGTGCTAGTCGCTAGCCTCTCCGATGCCAATGCCAACTTATCCGTGCTAGTTGCTAGCCTCTCCGATGCCAATGCCAACTTATCTGTGCTAGTCGCTAGCCTCTCCGATGCTAATGCCAGCTTATCCGTGCTAGTCGCTAGCCTCTCCGATGCTAATGCCAACTTATCTGTGCTAGTTGCTAGCCTCTCCGATGCCAATGCCAACTTATCCGTGCTAGTCGCTAGCCTCTCCGATGCTAATGCCAGCTTATCCGTGCTAGTCGCTAGCCTCTCCGATGCTAATGCCAGCTTATCCGTGCTAGTTGCTAGCCTCTCCGATGCCAATACCAACTTATCCGTGCTAGTTGCTAGCCTCTCC